TAATGATTTTTGTTCTCTTACATGCTTTAATATTTTTTAGTCATTCTTTTTATACTGTTTAGATTAGATATTAAACTTGTAGAAATATTTTAGTTCCCATTTTTAGAGGTTAATTTTAGGTGATTAATAAATGCTTGAATATCATGTACAAAACTAGGGTTTTAGGTGACAACTTAGGAGTTTGATTTCATTTCCCTTAGGACTTAGGATTTGAATAGATTAGTTATGGGACTATAGGGGCTATGGGTAGTTATTAGATCCCTTAGAGAACAGTTAGGATTCCCTTACTGCTATTATTACTGTCTGTATATCTGTTGTCTGGTGTGGTGTGCCCTCTGGGGATTGTTGATTGTTTGATTGGGTATTGGGTTTGTCTGGGGCCCTGGGGAAGCTGAAGATTTGTGAAGATGAAGCTATGGGAGATTCAAAGATTGAAGATCAACTGTCAGAGTTGAGGAGGAGTTTCTTGCTAGCAGATGCTGAGGAGACTAGGGTTTAGGAGCTAGGCAGAGCTCTAGATTAGAAGGATTGTTTCTCAAACATGGATTGCCTTGTCTGCATCCATTCTTCTCTGTGATTCAGAGTCTCTCTAAGACACTCACCCCCTTCCTTTGGAAGGCTTGGTAATAGTGTCTATGAGATAGAACTCTTGAGAGAAAATGGCTCTTGTGTTAGAAGCAGTCTGTTCACCACCTTTGGTAGTCAACTGATTGCTTAACACCCATTCACTCTTGTGACTGATCCCTCATCCTGGAGGTTTGAACTTGAAGAAAAGCCATTGCAGATAGAAGGCTGATGATCAAAGCCCTTGCCTGAAGGCCATGAAGATGGAGATTGAGGCTTGTTGAAGCCTGTAGCTGATTGGGGATTGCTTTGAAGCCAGTTGTTGATTCAGAGCTGCTGATGCTGTTTCTTTTGCTGTTGTATTTCATTTGCTGATGTATTGATTGGTTTTCTGAGCTGTATTGATTGCTGTTTACCCTGTTGGGTTGAAAGTGAAGCCTGTTCACTTTCACCTATTGTTTTCTAGGTTCGAGGTTGAGTGGGACTCCCTTGCCTCGCTTGTACTGTTGCATCCATGCATTTTACTGCTTTATTATATCTTTTATTGTTTCTGTTTCTGCCTATCCCGTAGGATCTCTGTTTCTCTCTGCGCAAGAGAGGAGCATGATAGACACTAGGTCTTAACCCATGCATGATAACATTAGGGTAGTTTGTTTCCCTTCGCAACCGTAGGTTAGAGTTCTGTCTCTTTCTTTCTCAAAACAAACAGAAAAACACATAAAGATTTCAAACACAATAAAAGACACTTCTTTCGTAAAAGAATGTGAACGCATCAAAACGTCATTTTTGTCCGCTTGGACCGCTAATCAGAAAACTTTTTTTCAGAAAGAATAAAATCAACCAAGACAAGCTTGTGTCTTCCGTGGCCCGAACTACGTTTGCTCTGATCTTTCATGCTGTATGAAAGTACGTAGGCATAGGATGCGATATCCTAGCGAGCAACCTTCCCCTCCTTTCCTGTAGGTAGGCGAACTACGTTGACTCTGATTTCTCGTTCCAGACGGGAATACGTAGGCATAAAGTGCGATACTTTGCCGAGTCATTTTTTTATTTTCATCTTCTTTTCTTTTTCACCCTTGACCTATAGTTTAGATAGAATAACAATCCATACCCTAAAACAAGCGTGGATCCCGTCGAGTACGACGGACGTGAGGGGTGCTAATACCTTCCCCTTGCGTAACCGACTCCCGAACCCAGGTTTTGGTTGCGATGACCATACCTTTCCCGTGTTGTGCGAGGTTTACTCTGAGCGTTTCCTTTCCCTCCCGTGGGATAAATAACGCACGGTGGCGACTCTTCTGTTCAGCCGGCGCCGATTTTCGCAGTAGCGACACTCGCGATGGATGCGAAAAAAACGTTCGAACAGAGTCGCCACCAAACTTTATACATTCCAAGGAAGGAATAGGAAAATATCGATAAAACCTTTAAAGAGATAAGAACATGGTCATCGTAACCAAATTCTAGGTTCGGGAGTCGATTACGCAAAGGGGATGTATTAACACCCTCTACGTCCGTTGTACTCAACGGGTACCTCTTGATTCGATTCGAGAGAATAGTTAGCTAGGGTTGTTTATTTCCTTCTAAGGGATTCACTTCTAAGGGGAAAATGGGTGGTTTTTATTAGGGTGATTGCCAACGATTGGGGCCCTTGTGCTTACGTACTCCCTCGTGCAAGTGGAAAGTCAGAGCATCGTAGTTCGTGATACTACGGGTAAAGGTTTGGGGTAAAAAGAAAAAGTTAGCTCACTAGGATCTCACAATCCTATGCCTACGTACCCTCATTGTGCAATGAGGAAGTCAGAGCAATCGTAGTTCGGAAGACTACGGTTGGTTGGTTCGTGTTGAATCAAACGAGTGTTTAGGTCGCATTCTAACTACTAAACATTGGCTTGTCTGCTCTCTGGAGGAAGTTGAAACACTAGTTCATATGTGCGAAAGAAGGGACTAAACAATGTTCTTTGCGAAAGATTGCTTGAGTTATAGATCACACGAGGGCGAGAAATTAGTGTCTTCAGAAGTTTTAATCGTACGAGGGTGAGAAAAGAGAGTTTGTCGTATTAGATGTTTTGATTGAGAAAAGAGAATTGATTTGAATAGGTTTTAGGGTTTCAATCGCACGGGAGCGGGAAGACGAGGTTTGATTTGTTAACTATTTTAAGGGAGAATGACGACTATTTAATAATCGAGGCGTCAACCTTGCAACCAATTAATCATTGTATTATTGGAATGTTAAATCCCAATGACACCTGTTTCATTCTAGTAATTTACGAAATTTGTATTTGATGGACAATGAACAACTTTATCCAAGTAATTAAGGCGAGTATTTTAGGAACGAAAGGTCGAGCAACTCACAACCCAAGGCGTGCGCCTCAAGAGCAGTTACTCAAGAATCCAAGGAGTGCGAGATTCCAAGAACTCAGTCCTTTCGTAATTTAATTAAGAAAATAATTTGAATTTTGATTAACGTATTTTGATTAGATGTGTTAGGTATTTTGAATGAATTGAGTATTTAGAAATGAAAGATCGAAATGACCACAATTTAAGGCGTGCGCCCCAAGAGCGATCATTTAAGAACCCATGAAGTGCTAGACCTCAAGAATTCGATATCTCCATTATTAATCAAGAAAGAATTTGAAAATGTCAGGTTAAATGTTTTAAACAAAATAGAGTTTGAACGGTTTAAAAGCTTTAAAAAGAATTTAGTATATTAGAAATGAAAGACGGGGGGAACACAACTCAAGGCGTGCGCCTCAAGAGCGGTCGTCCAAGGATCCAAGGAGTGCTAGACTCTAAGGACCCACTATTCTCATAATTAATTAAGAAAATAGTTTGAAGAAGTATTAATCTAAGTGGATTATGATTTTAATCTAGTTAGGAAAATATTTGAATATGATTAGCGTATTAGACGCGTTAGATTAGGAAAAAAATAATTTTAAGTTCCATATATAAAGAAACTAATTAATCCATTAAGAAAAGTATTTAATTAAGTGTTTTTTGATTTAGATTAAATGTTTTTTTAAATGAAAAACGGAATGATCACAACCCAAGGCGTGCGTCTCAAAAGCGATCGTTCAAGGATCTAAGGAGTGCTAGACTCCAAGAACCTATTATTTTCATTGTTTAATTAAGAAGATAATTAGTCATCTTAAATTGAGAAAATAATTAATTAAGATTTAATAAAAAAGAAAATAAGTATTAGAAAATAAATTTGAATTGAGATCTTTACCAGTTAATCAGGATATGCATCAAAATCATGATTGAATCAAGAAAACTTTTCAAGTTTTCATTAAGGAAAAGAAGTCACAAGTGTCATTAAGGAAAAGAAGTCACAAGTATCACCACGAATTAGTCAAAATCTAATCGAAACCAAAGTCACAAACTAATCGTAACTGTTGATATATATATATATATATATATATATATATATATATATATATATATATATATATATATATATATATATATATATATATATATATATATATATATATATATATATATATATATATATATATATATATATATATATATATATATATATATATATATATATATATATATATATATATATATATATATATATATATATATATATATATATATATATATATATATATATATATATATATATATATATATATATATATATATATATATATATATATATATATATATATATATATATATATATATATATATATATATATATATATATATATATATATATATATATATATATATATATATATATATATATATATATATATATATATATATATATATATATATATATATATATATATATATATATATATATATATATATATATATATATATATATATATATATATATATATATATATATATATATATATATATATATATATATATATATATATATATAGAATAGTTTCACATCGACTATATCATGTAATTAGTTGTAATCTATCTATATATAATAATGTTTCCGTAGTGCTTTTCAAAACACAGTTTATTCAAATGTCTCTTAGTCTCTTGTATTTTAAGAGTAACAAAGACCAACATAAAAATCTAGTTAAGATTAAAAATGAAAAAGATAGTTAAAAGGCTAAACCAAAATCTAGTTAAAACTTAAATGAAAACTAAAATTAAAAAATCCAGTTAATCAGCAACTAAAATCAAGATTGATGTTAAAAATCAACAAGATTAATTTCTAATCAAAAATTAATCTTAAATTAATTCAAAATTATTTAAAAAACCAATTCTAATATTAAAATCTAAATCTAAGTCCAAGTCTAACACAAAAAATAGAATTTAATTCTAAAAAACTAACTAAAAAAAGGCAGCAAAAAAAACTGGGTGCATTGGGCCTTCTATTCTAGGCCCAAGGTTTTTTTTATGAAGTCCCGCGGGTATGAGAGAAATTAGGGGTGGTCAAGAAATGAAAAAAAAAACACATGGGTCCTTTGGCTCGGTCCAAAGAAACTCGGTTCAGGTTTATAAAAAAACCTAATAGGACTCAATCGTGTTTCTCCATGTTCTTCTTCTTCATCCGTTCAGCCGCCCAGCTTCACCTTCAATACTTCATCTTCTTCGCAAAACCTCTCACCACCATAATCATCACACTCCATGCTCTTCTTCTTCATCTCACCTCTCACGCACAACCTTCTCTCCCTCTCAGAACTTCTCAAAATGATGCCGACACGACCCACTGCTCCGCAACCAACAACCAAATCGTTCTATTTCATTCTCCTCTCACCAATTTGTTCCATTTTCAATCATAAACACAGGTCAAAGCAATATTTAATGAACCCTAGAATTAATCACACCCACAATGGAATCATGAAAGAGATGAAGCTTAAGTCTAACTGACCTCTGAAGATATTCTCTCCGGTTATGCTCTCGATGGGCACGGCGAGATGGAGGCTCCATGATGCGTAGGTACGTCTTTGCAATGAGTTTTGTTTTCCCCTTTTTCTCTTCTGTTCTTCTTGAACTCTTCTCCGCGCGTGTAATTCTCGTGTGAGGTTTGTGGTTGTTAATGAATCCGTTGCGTAGATCTTGAGAATGATGTAAGGCAGATTTGCGATACACGCGGATATTGCGTGAGCTCTTGAAATGTGGTGTTTATGAGACGTGGAGTTCTTGAGCCGTGTTGTTGAATTAATGTACTGCAGAATGAAATCCTTGCAGTTGATTTTGTTTTTTGATTTTGCAGGTCTGTGAATTGTAGGTGAATTGATGAAGATGGAGATTAGAAGTTTCTTATAGAATTGAAGGAGACGCTGAGATGAGGTCTGCAGAGAAATGAAATGGAAAGTTGAAGCCTATTTCTGTAGAGAATGGAAAAGTGGAAAGAAGATTTGTGAGGATTGAAAACAGAAGAATGAAGATCTTTGAGAGGGAAGAGGGTGAATATTAGTTGTTGCAAGTTGAAGATTCGTTTGCGATTTGTTTGGGAGTGGAAGAGTGAAGACGTGAGGAGTCTTTGAGTTGAAGAATTGATGACGGCTAGAGTAGAGAACGAAGAAGATGACCCCCTCCCCTATCTATTTCGATTTAGTTGCAATTTATATCAAGATTAAGAGGGGTAGTTTAGGATTTCCAGGTGTTATTCTGTTAGGATTTGTTACGTCACGCATTTTCTTTCACGCATTTTCTTTTGTTACGTCACGCATTTTCTCTGTTGTGTAAGTTCTGTTATGAGGTGTCCTCAAATTTCTGTTGTGGACCTTCCGTCAATATGTTATGGTTTTGTTTGAATTAACAATGGACTTTCCATAGAGAAACTCGGTTATAATTTTTTGTGAATCAGTTTTTTTCTATCATAATATGTGGCCCAACGAAGAGCAGTCCATCCACATTTTTCCCAGAAATCTAGCGACAATCCCAATGCTGAAAATAAAGTGGTCACCCATGTATATCTCAAAATTGCACACAAATGGATGACACTTTGGCCTTGTGCAGCCTGTTCGGTAGTCATAAAACAATTCTCAAAAGACATTCCTTTAGTTTGTCTTTTTAATGCAATTCCAAACAGGGCATCTTTTGTTTGAGTGGGAAACCATAGCAAATGTGAGAGAGAGAGAGAGAGAGAAATGGAGATTATATATGGTCCTGATGATAGGCGATAATGATGCTATTTAATGGTGGAAAATTGTTTCTGCCAAAATATATGGGGAAAGTATTCTTTTTTTCTTGGTCTGCCAAAAGGATATTTCTGTAAAATAAAAAACTCACAGCTGGTGGCACGTGGTTGAAAAATTTGTAGAAGGAGGATCCAATGAAAATAAATAAATTCTAATATCCTTTTTATTTGAATATTTTAGAAATATAAATAATTAAAACCAAAACAGATTATCCAAAAATTAAATTATAATAACAAAAAAACTTAATTATACTAGTTACTTTGATTGAAAAAACAAAAATAAAATGATTGATTATGAATAAAAGTCGACCGCGAAAGTGTCCGAAAAAATAAAACGAGTCTACTAAAATGATCAGCATGAAATAAACGATTCGAAAAAAATACAACGTTTAGTCAGATTTAAAAATAAATCAGGACCAGTAAAAATATTCAGACTGATCAAATTGTAACTGAAAAGTCGTCAAAAAATAAGACGAGCGCGCCAGGTTGAACGACGCGAAACATAGATCAAGATTAATGGCTTCCACACGCTAAATTTAAAAACATTTATGTACGCTGATTTTATGCACAATTTGAGAAACAATTCAACCGGTCTGTCTATATATCCGAAAAATTTATTCTGGCTAATCATTTTAGGAATTATTCATGCTGAAAAATACGTCATCACTTGCATTTTGAACCATGCTTTGAAGTTGAGAAAATACTTAGAAGTGGGGGGGGGGGGGGGGGGGTTGAATAAGGGTTTTCAAAATAATATGAGAATAAAAACACTGATTTTTATCCTGGATCGTTGAACTCAACTAATCCAGTCCACCCTATCAAGAGTGAATTGCCTTTCTCCACAAGGACTTAATCCACTATAATCAAACAAATTACAATGTCAACCACTAAGAACAACTGTCTTAGTCTTCTCAAGAACTACTGACCACAACTTGGTCTTCTTAATGAACTTTTACAATCAAATGTAAACTAAACAAGTGTTTGAAATGCTTATAAGAAAGCTATATCACAACTGTAATTTATACACTTAAGATTAAGAACGTATGAAACTATTCAACAAAGAATAATAATTTGTATGAGAGTTTTGAGAGAGTTTTCAATGGATTTTTCAATGTTCGTCTAATTTCGTCAACTGTAGAAAGTTGTTGAAGACTTGCTTTTATAGACAAAGAAGTCCAAGACGTTGCAAGCTTGAAGGCCGTGTACTGCAAAGTAGCTGTAGCCTTTTGTATTCACATGACTTGACCTTTCCTAGAAGTAGAACGTTCAGAGAAATCCTTTTTGCCTGAGTTCTTGTGTCTAGCATAAAAGAGGAAAGAAACGTTTGGAATATGCCAACGGATATATCTTTGAATAATCTTCTTCAATAAGTTTCTATTTCACAGCAATCAACATCAGAGCCTTGAGTGATCAGAGTCTTGATGTCATCAGAGTTTGCTGTATCAGAGTGTTGCAGCAAGTGTGCTTCAACGTGAGTAACATTCAGAGCAGAGTTTGGAGATCAGATCCTCAGTACTTGCAGCGAACAGTACTATCAGAGTCTTCTGAAAAACAGTGCTTGAAACTCTTCATACAAAGTCTTCAACTACGCTTCAGATGCTTCTGTAGCTTCTGCTTCAGATTCTTCTGTAGGCAGCTCTCAGAGTCTTCTAACGAGATGCTTCTGACGCTCAGAGCCTTGCGTAGTTCAATGTTCAGATTCATTTTTGCTTTCAGAAGAATATTAAATTTAATATCTGCAACAAATATACTTGAACAAATTTAGAGTATATAACTTCTTAATACAAAATTTCATTAGTGTTATCATCAAAACATAGAGATATAACTAAGAACCAATCTGTGTTCTAACAATCTCCCCCTTTTTGACGATGACAAAAACATAGGAAGTTTTGTTCAATAAAAAGATAAATATAACTCCCCCTGAGATTATGAATCTCCCCCTGAATTGAATACTAAGAAAGAATATAAACCTCCCTTTTTGCATGAGTATTCTTTTTAGAATCAGAGCTTCATTTGGATGAACGTTTCAGAATCAGAGCCTGATTGGTTAAAACTTGATTTGGGGATCTTAGAGTTACTTTAATGAATTTTGTCAGATTTATCATTATAGTTCTGAAAGACTAAAAATTCATGTTAGTTATGATTTGATATGTCTGAATTCTATTCAGGTAAAGTTTATTTGAATAATCAGAATTGCATTTTCTCCCCCTTTTTGTCATAATAAAAAAGAAACGTATTAAAGACAAATAAAAGGAAACAGAGAGAAAAGATATAATCATATAAAGAAAACATTCAGATTCATTCATTAAGAAATATTCAGAGAGACAAAACATCAGATGAAAAATTCAAACAAGTGCTCAAACATCAGATAAAAAAACATAAAGCTAAGATTGTTTGGAGAGAAGCATCTTCAGAAGGTTGATAATTTCAGATGAAGATTGTTCTTGCTTGGACATCCATTTCTCAATGTCGTCAGTCTTCTGATCTTGCCTTGCGATCCAGGATTTTATCTCAGATTGACCAGCTTCCAGGACAACAATCTTGTCTTCTAAGTCTGGATTCTCTTTCTTAACTTTAGAAGAAGTAGAGGGAGCAGATTCAGAAACAGGAGTAGGAGCAGAGTCAATATCCATTGGAGTCGTAGATTCTGGAGCCGCAGATTCAGATGGTTTGTCCACAATCGTCAGAGCTAAAGGATTTTCTTCCAGAATGACTTCAGAAGTAGATCCTTCAATAGTCTCAGAAGTAGCAGACACTCCAGAAGTTGAGGGTGCATCCTCAAGAAGCAAAGTTGGAGATCTTTTCATATTCCATAGCATGGTTTTGGCAGTCTCAGCAAATCTGATCTTCGCATCATCAGAGCAGACACTCTTCAGATTTGAAGCAACAGTGTTGAATCTGGAGATGAAGCTATTCCAAATAGCATCAGATTAATCTGAATTCATGGTTTAGAGGCATCTCTTCTTCACAGATTCTAAACTCATCCTTATTTCTTTCTTGAAAGTAGCAAATAAAATATCAACATTTAGCCTAGTTTTAAGTTTAAGTAAGGCTTCAAGAGTTGATGGTTTGGATTGAACTGGTGAGGGTGGTATGGTAAATGTTGGAATAATGAACAGAGGACGAGGATATGGTGGTTTTGGTTGAGCAGGCATGAGATGAAAGAATGGTTTTATTCTGCGTATGGATGGAATGATAGTTCTGGGATTAAAAGAATATGGAATGAAGGGAGATTGCCTAGGTTTTATCATAAAGTGTTTGAGTTTTAATCCAGAGGGAAGGGGATCAGATGGTAAAGGTTTCAAGGATGCAAATGAAACAAAATCAGATAATCTTGGTTCATAGCCACGAAGAGATGGGGGTGAGTTTACATCTGGGTGAACATCAGATTCAGAAGAATCATATGATTCAGTTGAATGACATGATGTGGAAGAAACGTCAAAGAGAGTTTTTAGGGGTTGGATATCCAGAATTTCTGAATCAGGTATGAAAGGTTCAGAGGGTTGGATAGATTCTGGTTCAGGATTTTCAGATTGAGGAATTTCTGGTTGAGGTTCTGGTTGTTCAGATTGTTCAGAGGTTAGTGGTTCAGATTATTGTAATGGTGTGGTATCAGATGCAGTTTGTTTAGAAGAT